AGCCAGACTGCTTCAAGTTAGAAATTACTTTTTGGATATTCACATAATAAGAGTTTATGTAAGGGTGCCATAACTAGGCAGACTGCTTCAAGCTAGAAATTACTTTTTGAATATTCACATAATAAGAGTTTATGTAAGGGTGCCATTACTAGGCAGACTGCTTCAAGTTAGAAATTACTTTTTGAATATTCACATAATAAGAGTTTATGTAAGGGTGCCATTACTAGCCAGACTGCTTCAAGTTAGAAATTACTTTTTGAATATTCACATAATAAGAATTTATGTAAGGGTGCCATTACTAGCCAGACTGCTTCAAGTTAGAAATTACTTTTTGAATATTCACATAATTCTGATTCTGAAAATACCTTCAATCCTTTCGGCCTCTCCATGTGCTTGTTTCAACAGTCCAATCGCACAGAAATCCATAGGCTGGTGACTCTATTCGTATGGAATAGCATGAATTTCTGTTTCATTTTCCAGCTGTTTGATGGCTGAACGGATATGTCGTTGAAGTAACTTGTAAACTTGTGACTTGTGGCGCTTTTCCAGACAAAGATCCTTTTTGATTACACTGCGTACTGTTGCCAGGGGCACATGTATGGTTTGGCCAATGGCTTTTGTGTTCGTGGATTCTCATCTGTTACAAGACGCTGCATTTTGCTTACCACGTCTGGGGTATAACTTATTGCAGATCCTTTTTTAGATGGCCCTGGTGTCCCAAGTTGATCCATATTCTTTTGTTTCCAATGTCATTTAGTACAAGGGATATCCCCGTCTTGCAAATATTAAATTTACGAACTGAACACAATTTCATGATCTGAATTGAAGAAGATTTTGAATCCGAAAGGGACTATTGTATGCCTCTTCCAAAAGTCAAAATAAATCAATTTACAGTAGTATCACACTACAGATACAGATCATGTTTAATTTTTCATTATATCTATAATTAATAAAGTAGGGTTAAGGAAAAATAAGGAAATGTGGGGTGTTGAAATTGTTGAAGAAATATTTAGCGATACTGCTGACAGAGACGATAACTGAACTGCATCAAGCTTTTCATTGTAACTCACCTAACCTTTTAACAATAAACGTCATAGTTACTTTTGTTTGAGATAATGTGTTACATATACGGCAATAGCATCACTTGTGAACAAAAATGTATACGAAAAAATCGTCTTCATCATTAAAAAAAGGAATTATTTTCGGACATTATTTTTCACTCTTATGTAAACTAATTATTCTGCATTCATGACTATAAAGCTTCATGATATTAAAGTGTCAGAAATTGTTCAATTAAACGTTGTTAAAATTACAAGGGACAAAATATCAGAAAGTAAAGTTAATAATAACGGTATTGTGTAGATTTAATAAGTTTGTTTGTTTGTTAGTAATCACAAAGCTACACAAAGAGCTATCTGGGCTCTGCCCACCACGGGTATCGAAACCCGGTTTCTAGCAGTATAAGTCCGCAGACATACCAGTGTGTCACTGGAGGGGGCAATTTAATAAGTTAAAACAGATTACACATGCATGCACACACACATTCAACTCCTCAATATTATTTTTAGACAAAACCTTACCTTGGGTGGCCTACAGGAAACCAATATTTAGAATAGAGCTGATATCCAGAAGAGCTAGTAATATAACACGATGACTTATCCACGGCTTCCTCAATTTCGTTTCTTTCCATGTTTAATATGTAGAGGCAGCTCGTAAGCACCTAGAATATACGCGAAGTTTCCTTCTCAAGTATACGGTTAGTCGTAGGTATTTAATATACATACAATCAAAGCCAAGAGACTATATTCATCATCGTGGTTCGGACTGCTTCTTGCAGTGTTCATTAACACGCGACATTAGCTCCTGAGCCAGAAATACTTCCCCGGACGGAAGTGACGCAGAAGTAGCACGCACTTCTTATTGGACAGGTGTATATAGGTAATTAAAATACGTTATTCAAAATAAACAAGCTGCGTTAAAGATTTTCTAAAAATAAGAAAACACTAATGGGTAATTATTTAAATGCTTTGTTAATAGCTATTTTTTTAGTACCCTCTTGATAGATGTTTGAAAAAATGCTGGTTTTGAAACAAAACATGGTGAAAAGAAATACAATTAAATTAAAAAGCTTTTACTGCTGCATCGAATTTCTTTTCAAATGAATGCATTTAGTGCTTTCACAGATGAATTCTAAACCACAGAAAAGTAACCAGGTGAAGGCACTAATTATGTTAGGTCAAAATTAATAATTTTTTTTTCAGTACATTGTTGGGCATGAAAGCTACGTGAGCCAGTGTAAACGCTTGATCGTACAATTATGTGTTGTGAAAGTAAAATTAATCAAGTTTCGGAACTGTTTTGTGCAAGATGCTAATGAATTGTTAATCCAGTTTTGAGAGTGACTTCAGTTTATATTATTATATTCATTTGCGAGAAAAGCCTTTTTTGTTGACCTTTTCAGGACGATATATATTTTTAAAGCTGGATGTTTATGAGCACAAAACATTTTTATAAAAACAAAACATAGATAAAATCATCCATTTCTGGAGAGTTTCTGTATGAAAAAATATTAGCCTTCAGTTCTGGTTATTAGCCTTTAGTGATCACAATGTTTGTAGTTAGTACGTATGTTTGAATTATTCCAAAACAAATAGAATTTCTTATTCTGGAAATTTTTATTTTTTAATTTCAAACATAACAAGAGCATAATACAATGATTTTATTTCAATAAGTTGTAAACAAAATCTCTGTTTCCATCACGTATATAAGAAATGTAATTAATCTCTCATAGTGAAATGGTGATGCTTTAATTCAATTTCACCAAGTGTTAATAAACTTAACAATTACAAGTATGGCCTTAAAAGTTAGTTTGAAGACAAAAATGTATTGCATAGAATTAGTAGTACACAGAAATAATCAGTGTCCTCGGAAAGTCACATTATTAAAGTAAATTATTTAAGAAAATTTCATGTTCTTCTTCCGGTACGAAATAGCAATAGTTTAGGCTGAATATGTTACTTGAGAGATAAGAAACATTTCGTTGCGTGGTTCTAAGACCCCTCATGTTTCACAGAGACTCCCAATGTTCCGATCAAGCACCTTCATTAATTGCTTCTATAGCTACCTCAAGGGTTGTACACTCTGAGAAATACCGTAGGATACTTTCCAGTTGTGCCAATTTTAATCCCGCTAGATTCAATATTTATTTATACCACCCGCTAGGTAGTATAAATAAAGTTTAAGAAACAACACCGAGATCCGGTTGTGGTGGGGGCGGAAATCAAACTCCAATGCGAAGTTCGAATTCAGCAACCCTCCAGACATCCTAATGTACCTACAAATGCCGTGATGGGTGAATAGTAGTGGGTTACGCCATAGAAATATGGATCCTCCTTTGGGCCATCTCAAGTCTACCTGCCAAATTTGGTCCTTCTAGCTCCAAAAGTGTGGAGGGAGTTCGCGATCAAACAAACAATGTGAATTAATATTGGCTAAGTATGCCGTTGTTGTTATTTTAGCACATAATGGTCTATCTGCACTCTGTTCGTTAAAACCCGGAGATTGATTCTTTGTGGCAGACAGAGCACAGTATTCCAATTGTGTAGCTTTGCACAAAAAACTAAAAAATAATAAAACAACATATATTATGTTTATAAAGATTAATTTTAACTTAGTATATTATGAAATATGACAACAAATACTGTTTTATAATCAAGATCATAAATCATATTTCAATCTGCAGTCCCAAGCTATGTCACATCTCAGCTTCGCAATGAAAAAAGTCGTATTCACAATACAAAAATGTCCATTCCAATAAACGCAAAAGAGTAATTCTGTATTTTGTTACAAGATCGACGAGATAGTACGCTGATTTTTAATCTTTATCATTTAATTATAAAACTAAAACTAAAAATGTATACATAATATGATGTACTATATTTGTAGTTTATTGCTAGTATCATAGGCAGCAGATCAGAATGTCCAAGGTTCGAGTCGCGATATGCTGTTGAACACATTCTATACTTTCGGCTACTAATTGTGACAGACGCTTCTGCTATTCGGTTAAGAACTGCAGTGTTGGAGGTAGGTGCTGTTGAATGGATACCTTCCTCTAGTCATCAGTTCTAAATTTTGGACGGCTGTATGATATTCACATGCACAGAAGTAAAGAAGGTAAGTTCAAGTATCCATCAACTACCGTGAAATTTTATCTGAAATGAAATGAACACGGACAGCAAAGGAAAAGCAGATGACTCAGGTGGAGAAATAAAACTGAATCTTTATTCTCAATAAACTGTAACTGTTGGTTTCTAATCTATTTAGTCTTCTGATTCATTATGAAAGAACAACTACCTGCTGGAGCGAGAGAAGGAGGTAGGTAATAAGTACTTTTATTTCAGATGAAGACAAGATCTAGAATGAGATCTAAAATCATGTAGATACTCTATTTTACATCAGATTAGTTCCCTATTGTAGAATCCCACATTCCTTAGATTACATACGCAATCATTCTCATTAAACATACATATTCAAGGGAAATAATACTAACACGAGTCTCTGTACTACTCCTTCAAACGAGTATAACCCAATGCCTCGAGAATATGACACAGAAGCAAGACCAAACAAGTATAAGCCTATGTAACAAGCATTGTAGTACATAAATTTTATCTAAGGTAGAAAATTAGTACAAGTTTATGACCTTATCCCATTTTGGTTTACAAGGATTTCTCTAACCACATGCGAAACATTTACCTAACACTTTAGAAAATAACACCTGATTGCTTCTCAATAAATCCACATGTTAGTTAGGGAAGGATAAAAAATGATATTTCCCATCATACACTTCTACTCTTCCTTATCACAATTTATATATACACCTGGAAAAAAGTTAAGCACCCCCAAATAT